GACTCAAAGTGAGCTCGGTACGACTGACAAGAGCAAGAGAAGTCATATAAAGTAAGTTTCCATGTTTATTTAGTGTCAAAAAAGGGACTTCTAAACGGTATTTGTCCATTTCTATCACAATGGCAATCCCTTTTAAATGAAATACACATTGTTTTGTCTTCAAACTTTGAGTTTATCCGCCGGATAGTGGATTTAAACTACCTCCGGACCTCGGATAAATTTATCCAACGGATAGTGCATTTTATCCGTTGGATAGCGCTATCCAAGCTTCGTACAACGCGATTTTCACTCCGGATAAAATTTATCCGCTGGATAGGGACTTATCCACCGGATAGCGATTTATCCACCTTTCGTACAACCGGCCCCAGATGTTAGACAGAGTACAATAAACTGGCATTAAAGACAGTAAAATAAGGAAGTAGGGCACACAAGGGCACAATGCAACTTAAATGAGTCACTGGAAACATGGCCAGATTAAACCATTAACCAGACCTGAAAATAATTCTAGCCTTTCTTGGGTTCTAGGCCAGGGGGAAATATTTTCTTTGAAAACACTGTTACCAAATTTAGGTAGGGGGAATTTTCTTTTGAAAACACTGTCATAAAATTTAGTTGGTTTAACAGCACTTAAATTTTGACTCTTACAGCTGTTAGGCATTAACTGTGCTTCATAGCCTTCACTGTTAACATAATCTATTCAATTAATCAATAAATTGGATAATAATAATATTAATGTGGCAAATACTGCAATTTCATTGGTTTACAGGAGTACCATTTGAGCATTAATTATTTATCTTCTGTAATCAGTGGCAAATACTGCAATTTCATTGGTTTACAGGAGTGCGATTTGAGCATTAATCGCACCTTTTCTGAGCTGTAATCGCACCATTGTCTACAGCCAATGACAATCAGTCTAGTATTTACAACTAGCCAATCAGCATTCAGGATACAAACTTTGAATTTTATTTTCTTTATTGCTATAAAAAATTCAAAATGGAGGAATTCACAAATTTTGAATATTTTGACATTTTAAGCGATATATTTTCTGACGAAAATGACCAACCTGTTCTTCCAGCAGAAGACCCCGATCCAGACACAACCAGGTTCCCTAATTTAACCGAAAACGACATTGAAGAGATTAAAAACTCAAACGTGAAAGTAAACACACAGCGGTCAACAAAAACCTGGATGAATGTCTGGTCAAATTGGTGTTCAGCTAGAGGAATAAGTCAGCCAATTGAACTTTTTCCTTATGAACAATTGGATAAGCTTCTCAGCAAATTTTATGGCGAAGTTAAAAAGGTGAATGGAGCGGACTACGAGCCAGAAAGCCTTCGCGTGATGCAAGCTGCAATTGATCGCTACTTACGTGACAAAGATTACGGCGAAAGTATCATTTCTTCAAGGCAATTTCATCAGTCTATGAAGACACTCAACGCTAAAGCAGCACGTCTCCGACAGCAAGGCATGGGTAAACGTCCCAACAAAGCAGAAGCACTCAACCAAAGCGAAGAGGAATTGCTGTGGCAAAACGGTTCTCTCGGAAATCATTCGCCAGTCGCGTTGACAAATGCCAATTTCAAGTGTCTTTCGGAGCAAATGGGTTTGCGAGGACGACAGGACCACTACGACGCATATGTGGAAGATTTCATCCTTCGTAAGCACGACGATGGCTCTGAATCTATTGTATTCAATAAAAATCCCACCAAAACACGAAGCGGCGGCCTTCGAGTCGCAAAAAGAACCACGAAGCAAGTTATGTGGAGCACTGATGGCGGCCCTCGAAACCCAGTAAAGCTTTTCAAGTTATGGCTCTCCAAACGCCGTCAGCCGATGCGAAACCAAGGCCCTCTGTATCTGACAATAATTCAACGTCCAAAAAATGACGATGTTTGGTATACCAAGGTACGAATGGGCCAGAACACAATTGGGAAAATAATGCCAAGAATGACTTCGTCGCTCGAGAGCTCAACAGCGAAAAAGTTGACAAATCACAGCACGAGAAAAACAGTTGTTCAAAAGCAGAAATCTGCTGGACAACCACGCTATGAGATCAAGGAAATTACCGGTCATGCATCAGAGGCATCTCTAAATGATTACGATGTAATCAGCGAGGAAGAACGCAGAGAACTGTCTCATATCATCAGTGGTTACAGTGCGTCAGCTTCGTGAACAACAACCTCAGTTCCCTCGATCGTATCGTCTTCCACAGCTCCTAGACCAACCGAACATGATACATCAATTGTCCCCGTTCAAGTCAAACAGCAAATTGCATCTGCATCCAACGCTATCCTTCGCCAAGAAGGTTTGTTGAGCATTCCCCCCAGTGTTGACCACGATCTCCCACTTGTGTCTGCCAAAAACCCAGTTTCCTCATCGCTAGCTCCGGTTAATATTGCCTACAACAACTGTGTTTTTAATATTGGAAACCAGACGGTGAACACGGATAATTCAGCTGCCAGAAAAAGACTTCGAGCGGTTATATTTGACTCAGATTCAGATTAACTGAGCTAAAGAACTTCACCATTTTGAACACGTTACAAACTTGCAACATATGGCTTCCCAGTTGTGTGTTGACTGTTGAATATTATTAAATTCAAACACTGTTGTCATGTGATTATACCGGAAATAATACCCGGAAGTTAATAATATGTTAATTTGATTATGATAAATTTAATTCAATATTGTACTATTTCACTATTACAGTAAGAATTGTCGAGACAAAAATTTAATAATTATATTGAATTTCAACAAATTGTATTTTTGTGCCTTTTCCCCTCAAACAGTTTGATTACAGAAGATAAATAATTAATAGCTAATAGAACGAATTAAGTCGTGCTATTAATGCCGTAATCATACTTGTGATTAACAAATCAATTTTGTAATCACTCGTATGATTATGGCATTAATAGCACTCCTATTCGTTCTATTACCATCATTAATCACACCTTTTCTGAGCTGTAATCGCACGCTTGTCTACAGCCAGTGAAAATCATTCTAGTGTTTACAACTAGCTAATCAGCATTCAGGATACAAACTTTGAATTTTCTTTTCTTTATTGCTGTAAAAATTCTCAAAATGGAGAATTTTAAAATTTAAAAATCACAAATTCTATTTTTGTGCTTTTCCCCCTTATACAGGTTGATTACAGAAGATAAATAAGTAATAGAACGAATTAAGTCATGCTATTAATGCCTAATCATACTCATGATTAACAAATCAACCTCCCGCTATGCGTTGTAATTCAGTCGTATAATTATGGCATTAATAGCACTCCTATCCGTTCTATTACCATCATTATTAATTAATTCTATGTAACTAATGTTAGCAACTTAAGTCTTATACTAAAACGGTCTGTACCAGTGTGGGTACTGGGTAGTAACAATGCTGAGTGGTTATATAACTACCTGAAAAGAAAAGCAGAAACTCAACGTCGAGTTTCTGCTTGTTTTTTTTTCAGGTATTAATTAATATAACTACTCAACACAACAACTTAGGTCTTATAGCATATCAAATTAAATTGTAACAAATGCTTATATAGTGTAATAGCTTCATACAGTTGTAGTTATAACTTATAACAGTTTATTACTACTTGATTTGACATTTGAAAGTTGTTTGATGAAGAAATTTAAATTTCAAGGAATATTTTTTATGTATGCTTTTTTATGTATATTTTTTATGTATGCTCTTTTTTGACCGATTTGTGCATCAGGTGATATCACTTATATCGGCTTTTTCAGTTCTCAGAAAATTTGGGAAATTTTTAACCTTTTTGTTGATTTTTATGGATAATTTTTAAAGAAATTTCAAAACTTTCTACCAAAGAAAATTGAAAATCCTTTCTAGCAATCAAAAAATGTTCTAGGAACACCACCACTATTTCCAGGTAGCCATTAATCAAGCAGCACTTTCCCACTCACAAATAAAATTGTCTGGCATTAATTAGACAGGAATACATTGTGGCACAATGCAGCTTATGACATGCACCACAAGCTTTCTAGCCTGTGTCCGGCCTAGTATAATAGCTAGTTAACACCCCGCAAATTGTTGCACCCTTCTTAAATTAACAAGTTTACAAGGTTCATGGAGCATTTGCTCAATTTTGAAGTCAAAGGTTCCCGTCAATACTTTCTTTGGGCTATCAAAGTTCCTTTCTAGTGAAGTAAATTGTAAATTATATTTTTATAGGCTGATGATAATGCAAAAGAAGTGGCTAAATTGACCAAGCCCAGTATGTCCTCATTTATCATTATTGGTTGTACCGTCGACAAGCCAAATGAGGAGATGGCCATTGCTGGGGAAAATGAGGTTCTCCTCAAAGCTTCTGGAGGCATTTGAATGCTTGATGTGTATGTATTACATTAATGTACAGTAATGTGCA